ATTGAGCGTATCTGGAGGCCAACTTCTTGGTCTGGTAGGAATGATGACGGTCCTGGACTGCTCCTTCATCACAAGGATCAGTTTCCATCCTTATAATCGTAATCGCAGCGAAATTCATAGATGTCTGAATTCGTTGTCCGCTGGTATGAACCATAGACATATACACAAAACAATAGAGTGGTCTGGTATGAGGAACGGGGGGACTATTTACGGTGGAGAGGGAGCTCCCTCCAATATACTGGCGGTGAAACCTAAAATGAACTTGAGCACAGATGTATATGTACGACAGCAACAAATAAAGTTTACGGTAGAAAGGAAATGCACNCACACTTGATTCACGAGTATAGGATAAAGTGATAAAATCTTCTAGCGTTAGTATCTTAAGAGCTTAGGGAGGCAAAACCTTTATTAGCTACATTCTACCAATGACCAATGATATTAAAATTTACCCCATGGAGGAAAAACATGGTGTGTTGCTGAGTGAAGTGGGAGAGAGAACGAATGGTAGTTGACTGCGTCATATTTCCGAAGGGCAACAATTTTATATCTTTGGTTTCCATCCAATTCACAATTCTGACCTGTTGTCGTCACGTGATGACTGATGTACGGTAGCAGACATTCCCAGACCAATATTCGATAGGTGGGTAGAACCGGGTGATTTTTTGAAGGATCCTCTGATATCTCCCACTAATCTTATCCCCGACACGCATGCTCGTTTCGTACGTTCTTCTTCTTACATTGTCATCGACATCATCATCTTCAAGTCCCTTCCTTTATCCGACCTCGATACCGTTGAACTCATTTTCGCATATCCCAATCCGTTCTGTGCTCATGTGTGCTCTGCTAGTCCACAGAGCCCATTCTTCTACCCACCTCATAAACCTGTTGAGGTTGTCCAGCGGTACCCTTTGAACTTCGAGGGACCTGATATTCCATGGCTTCACACTGGTTGTGTGTACCGAGCAAGGCGATGACATAGTGACTGACAGGGCGTTGATGCATACAGCAAATAACATAGAGCCCAAGACGGAAGCTTGCAGGAACTCGCTGCTGAAGGCGGAGGTTTTCGCCTGCAGGAAACCTTTCGTCCTTTTGAGCAACTGTTTTTGCACTCCCATGTTCTAACACATTTCCATTTATAATTCATGGGACACATTATCGAAGGTCTTATTGTATGTAGTCCACGAATATGACGTCCATGATTTTACCCTCAGCTTCGTTTCCGATCAGTGATCTCTTGCCGGTAGGTAAGTTCGATAGACGCGATCTCGATTGCTTGAAACCATACTGATTGGAGTTTAGTAGCTGAAACTCTTCCAAATGTTCGTTCAATCGACCGGCTATCGAACTCTCACCTGCCCCGCTAGAATGGCAAAGCTCTTCGATCGGCAGCGCGTTTGGTCAGTTTACAACCCTTTCTTCAAAATGATACACATAACTGCGCTCTTTCAACCAGTTGGGAATCAATCAGTTCACAAAACATCCTCATATAGGGGACTGAACGGGTTATTCTCCAGTTATAGTAGGACCATGAAAGAAACATAATCAGGGACTGGTGATTTACGTGCGCTAAGACTCCGCAGGGCTTTAATCATCTGTTCATTTTCGAAGGATAGTGTCTCAAGCGGTAGGTTAGCAAATTCGAGAACCGTCGGGACGGGGAGCAGCTGTGTCAGATACCGAGACGAGTTCTACATTACTACCACCTCTGTTTTGTCATCATCAGTTTCGAACATCACACTGCTCTTAGAAAGGGCAGGAATTGTTCCGTTATTGCAAATTCTCTTTCTCAGGCAGGAATAAACTCTCTTTGGTGCTCGGACAGAGTGCTGTAACCGGTTTGTCCTGGTAACATTTCCGTTTGACTCCCTCAATCATGTAAAATGTTTCTTCCGGTATTTGTATGGGTCATAACCCAACTGGTTCTCTGGTACCGTTTCCATGCCCGATCCCACCTTTTAATATGATGCAATAATTCTTTGTTCGACCCCGCGGAGGGTAGTTCGAAGAAGATCTGCACGACGCGGTAGCGCGTACTATTCCACCAGTTCTTCAACCATGTCCATGATTGTTTCCCACATAATTCACACATCCCTTGGGTCTGCCTCACACCACGATATTAGGGATGCCGAAGCTCTGGCGGTTTCGAAGTAAGTTTTCGACGAATCATTTCGAGATAGTTTTCCGCTGCAGATCTTCATCTCCCCCGTTGATGGATAACACCACGTGATCACTATAGGCAAACGGAAATATATAGTTTCCACCCCATGCAAAGGATTTAGTTGGGGCCTGGAAGTTGTTCCTCCTGGATGTCTCGTTGTCTCTCTGATGTGCTGGAGTAAAGATATTTCACTAGAAAGTGTATGCAACTCCAAAAAACGTTTCTACCGCACGTGAGCACATGCAGGCAACTGAAATCTCCTAAAACTAGATAACATACCTCATATGACCATCTCCTAATACTTGGTAGGGGTCTTTGTGTATCTAGGCCGTGGCTTCTGTGTATTATGCCAAGCGCAATATGCCCTCGTGACTCAAGATATGCACGACACCTTCCAAGTATCCGTCTCGATTAGACTGATTGTTCATTACGCAAGCCGGTATATCAGTGCGCACATATAGATAAACTCATTTTCCCTGTCTGATCAACCGAGAATAACCGTAGAGAGCTGGCGCATTCAGTAGAGGAACAGCAGCATAAAAACAAATATAAATGTTACATCGCAGCAACCAGTCTCGCCTATATACGAATCATACTAAATAGATGGTAGACTTTTATCCTCGGGACACATTGGTGAGGTTTTTCGTGTTCTTATTTGGTTTTTCATTCATAGGTCTATTATTTTCTGAACTGACCTCACAACACACCACTCAACGACAGTTGGCTGAGACAAATTCGCATTTCGCGCTTTTGAGGGGTCAGTGTTTGCAGTTCTGTATCCAGTTCGGCTTTAGAGTGCGCGGTTATTTATAGCATCGTCTTGCGTATGACTCATGTTGTCCCAGAATTGGGACGTGTGCAGACTGACACGCACACAGAAAGTAGGGAAATCACATGACGCCGAGGTAACCTAACGAATCTGATGATTCACGTGATGCAAGGGTATAGATGAAATTTGAAGCAACAAAACAAACTTGGTTCGACGGATTACAGTAGTAATTAGGCCGAAAGTTGACTAAATAAGCCAACTGGATTCAGATCCGTGACATGGGCTTATCGATATTTTGGTTAGTTGTAAAATTTATAGAACAAACAAGGAAAAGCCTAAGAAGCAATGCAAAGTTGTTTCATCTTAGTTGGAAATCATGGGCAATGCACATACACTAAGGAAGCTAGGGTTCGAGCCCCGGATCTGACGAGCCGAAGATTCAATGCGCTACCTGTCAAAAGTCAGTTCTTCAAGAAATGCTCTCGATATATTTTCTTTAGTCCATTGGACACGAATGATATTTGGTAAGGGAATCACAGGCGTTTATATATAACCCTGAACCAATCAGATTGTTCGACGGGCAAAATTAAAGCCTTACTCGGACCAATCGTAAAAAAAACCAATTGATGCAGTAAAACAAACAATCAATTCAAACAACACTTTTCAACACACTACCTACTCGGGTTATTAGGTGTGGTTCTTAGCATGGTGCTACACGTCAATGCGACATGATATGACGCTCATTCATCACTGTCTTCCAATCAACGCAGTGTTTGATTCTCTCGTATATGACTTTTCATTATGATTCTACTATTGTAGCCGGGTATGAGAAACCCACCAAGCATAAAAACGAAGAAAAAAATAACCAAAAACAGTTACGCACTCAAATAACTGTCTCACACTACTAGATCTACCATAGGAACAACAATTGGTATAGTGCAGTCCACCAACAGTGCTCCAGCATCCTTGACTACGGGACTGCACTCATGAACAACGTTAATCGGGGACAATAGTAAACAAATGCATCTTCAGGCGATAAGGCTTGAGAGCAGGCCATTTGTGGCATGATTTCGCAGTTCAGCAATCATGAGGATTCCATCCGAAATCAGTAATCCGTATTCCCGGCACCAAAGCACAGTTAACTTACTGCCAGAAACGAAACTGTTAGAACAATTTATATAAGAAAATATATTGAAACTCAAGGGTATTATGTAATCAGCATGCATGTTTGCGTTGTTATTGCTTTCCTGATTGTGTCGTCATTTTTTTATTTTCATTTTTACTTCCTTAGGTTTGATACATAAAGATACCTTTTTCAAAAGGGGGAGTGGCCAATTGAACAGCTGCCATACAAAACACAATGGGGAAGGTCAGACGGTGGTGGTGGGATTCGAACACACGTCCTCCGGGGTATTAATTTGGTAACGTTGTGCTGCTAAGTGAAGATCCAGGTAAGTTGCAAGCTTTTCTGGACAGCTTGATTACCAGTGTAGCCATGTTTGGTATACGTTTTGCACCTTCAAAGTGTAAAATGCTACTGCAGGACTGGGTTGGTCCTGCACCCAGTCTCACACTTACTGGGGAAGTAATAGAGCAAGTGGATAAGTTTTGTTATTTGGGCAGCTACATCTCACCCGGTGGAGGCATCACGGATGAAGAGAAGTAATAGAGCAGGTAGATAAGTTTTGTTATTTGGGCAGCTACATCTCACCCGGTGGACGCATCACGGATGAAGTGGAGTTTTGTTATTTGGGCAGCTACATCTCACCCGGTGGACGCATCACGGATGAAGTGTCAGAAGAAGGCTCGGTTGGCATTTGCCAACTTGAGACATCTGTGGCCCCGTCGCGACATCCGGCTGCACGGTTGGCATTTGCT